TTTCAGAAGCAACGTTTTCGAAAAAAATGTCTGGCTGTTGGTTTCTTGCTTTGGAGGCTGGTTCATGGCACGGCACAGCATCAGCAGGCGCCAGTACCAGCATCACCACCACCAGAAGCAGCAGCAGCAGATGCAGCTGCAAACTGCCATGGTGTTTCCCCGTCCGGGGGCTGTGGTTTTGCGCGGTCTTTCCTCGCCCAAGAACCGCGTTTTGGAGCGGGACAAGTAGCTCAGAAATCTCCTCATTTTCTATGGGTTTCAGAAGTTACGTTACGCACTTTTTCGCCGCCTTTTTTGCGCCTTCTCCGTCCTTCACTGCCATGGTGTTTCCTTGTCCGGGGGCTGTGGTTTTGCGCGGTCTTTCCTCGCCCAAGAACCGCGTTTTGGAGCGGGACAAGTAGCTCAGAAATATCCTCATTTTCTATGGGTTTCAGAAGTTACGTTAGGCACTTTTTCGCCGCCTTTTTTGCGCCTTCTCCGTCCTTCACTGCCATGGTGTTTCTTCGTCCGGGGGCTATGGTTTTGCGCGGTCTTTCCTCGCCCAAGAACCGCGGTGTCCTGGGGCCGGGGGGGATTGTTGTGTGGGTTTTGGGGTTGATTTTTTTTTTGGGTTTTATTTTGCGTTTTTTTTCGGTTTTTGTTTTTTTTTTTTTGGTTTTTTTTTTTTTTGGTTTTTTTTGGTTTTTTTTTTTTTTGGAGCGGGACAAGTAGCTCAGAAATCTTCATTTTCTATGGGTTTCAGAAGTTACGTTAGGCAGTTTTTCGCCGCCTTTTTTCCGCCTTCTCCGTCCTTCAGGGCCCTGCTGTTTGGTCGTGGCGGAGGCGCCGTTTCTGAGCTTGGAAAGCTAGAAGATGGCTACTTTTCGTGTAATTTCAGAAAGCAACGTTAGGCAGTTGGGGCCGTTGTCGGCAGGCCCGGTCCGTCCTTCAGGGCCCTGCTGTTTGGGCATGGCGGAGACGCCGTTTCTGAGCTTGGAAAGCTAGAAGATGGCTACTTTTCGCAGGGGGAGCGCGCCTGGTTCATGGCACGACAGGAGCAGCAGCAGCAGCATCAGCAGGCGCCAGTAGCAGCATCACCACCACCAGAAGCAGCAGCAGCAGATGCAGCTGCAAACTGCCATGGTGTTTCCCCGTCCGGGGGCTGTGGTTTTGCGCGGTCTTTCCTCGCCCAAGAACCGCGTTTTGGAGCGGGACAAGTAGCTCAGAAATCTCCTCATTCTCTATGGGTTTCAGAAGTTACGTTAGGCACTTTTTCGCCGCCTTTTTTGCGCCTTCTCCGCCCTTCACTGCCATGGTGTTTCCTTGTCCGGGGGCTGTGGTTTTGCGCGGTCTTTCCTCGACCAAGAACCGCGTTTTGGAGCGGGACAACTAGCTTAGAAATCCTCATTTTCTATGGGTTTCAGAAGTTACGTTAGGCAGTTTTTCGCCGCCTTTTTTCCGCCTTCTCCGTCCTTCACTGCCATGCTGTTTCCCCGTCCGGAGGATCCAAAAAAACAAGGTCCCCGTATACTTTGATAAACTATCATGCACCTGTGCGGCGCAACCATGCACCTGTGAGGCGCAACACTAGCTGCATAATAATAGGGCCAAAACTATCGTATAGATATATATATATATGTATATATTATCTAGCTATTATACAGTTACTTAGATCCGTGAACGCATAAAACCATAGGATCATAATATCAACATGCACCCCAATGAAAAACCCATTTACAAATGAAAATTCAAACCTATCAAATATAGTTCACAACAATATACATAGGAAAAAGATCGAAAGCCTCAGAATTTAGTTTGCTTCCTTGCCGATTCTTCCGGGGTCGGCGGCAGGGGCGGCAGCCCTTAATAAATTAGATAAACCCATTCTTACCCAAAGCACCTCAAGGCAAAGCACCCCAGACTGAGTAGCTGGAAGCATGCCATGAAGTTTGCATTTGCCTGCAAAGAATGGCTTGAGGGATTGACGCTACTTCTGCACTGATGCACCGAACAACGGCATCCAAAAATATCCAAAGGGTTCAAAAATGTAAAAAGATTCGCGATTCGCCATACCTGCAAAGCAACTTTTACTTCTTCAATGAACAGCTGTGAGTCCTTGCACATGACGGCAGGCTGCGAGGCCAAGCTCGCATGCAACAGCTTCAGAGCTGCTGCGACCAAAGTTCTTTGCCTACAGTGCTTGTGACAAGAATTGTTGCTTGATGTTGCTTGAAAGCATCTTAGTATCTTAGTCTTGCAACGTTGGAGCCAGAAATGGCACCACCATTGGAATATATTAGAAAATAACTTTCTTTACACATGAAAACCATGAAATGAGGGGGAATGAAATGGATACTGAGCATCCTGCCATGGCCGCTAGCGCTTTGCTGTGAAAGGCTTCTGCGTCTTCGGACCGTCCAAGATCCTCAGCGAGAACCGCGAGCCGAGATCAGCCGAGTTCAATCATAGACTAAATTCGTAGGAACTTGGAAAACACTTGGCCTCTGCATAGCCTCTGCCTGACTCCTTGACTGTGACAGTTTGGACAGTGACAGTCACAGAGCTCAGCATAGCTCAGCCGCTGGCATCAAAACACGCAGCCAGTGCTGCAAAGGAACTTGCGGTCTGCAAGTGGTCGCTGCCCAACTTGGCCTTCAAGTCTCCCACAGTGTAGTAAGTGTAGTATTGCTTCCAAGCTTTTGATCAAGCACTACAGCTTTAGTCAAGCCCGGAGCAAAAAATATATAGTGGCGTAGGACATAGGATACTCATACTCATGGATACTCTATGATCTTGAAGTATTGCCACTTGTTGCCAAATATGATATACAGTATTCACTATTCCTACATCAGTTCAACCACATTCCTTATCATAGACGCAAAGAAATGAACTTACTCTCACACTTCCGAACATTGGAAGTTTCACGACTGCAGTGCTCCTTTACGCTGTGCTATAGCATGGGTTTGGTCTCTAGGGCCTCATCTTCCTGGGAGGCCTGGTCCCAAAGCACTGCTGCTTCCTGGCATGGCATCGGCAAAGCTCGGCAAAGCCATGGAGGTCTGAGATTGTCTGAGGACATCTGCCGCATTTGGCAGCGACTTCACAAACAATATCAAAGAATTCAAGAATATTCCACAATATTCCAGAATGTTTCAGAATGTTTCAGACCTTCGCATCAGCCCTGTTTACGTTGCCACGGCCTCCCTGTGTTTGAATTCAGATTCGTCAAGCCTCTGCTCTTCCCAGGCAAGCAAAGAAATGGGCAAGCAATCGGACCTCAGAGAAAGTAACTTAGGCTTGCCTATGCGTCACATTGCTTCAACAGGTTACACTATGTTTGATATTGTTTGATCCAAACTTGAGACTTCGAGTCTCAAACTGCTCTCCCTTCCCCATCGCTGTGGTACACCTCTGCTTTGAGTCGTCTTTCCATCATTCCAAAGGCAAAGCCTGCTTCAAAAACAAAGGCAGCCCCGTGGAAAGCAAAATTTCTTCGCAATGAGGAAGGACAAGTGCCACCATGCGCCTGCACTTGCCACCATGTCCGGCAGCTTGATGAAGCATTGGGAATGCTTTTTGGAGGCATCCTTCCATCGGTTCTCATGGAGCAGAACCCAGAAAGCTAAAATTGCAGAATGTTCTAGAATTGCACACAAAACCAGAGACGCACTGCGGCAGAAACGACAACACTCCAAGGTGGAAACAAGCGAAGGGAGGTTTAAAGACTGATAAAACTCTGAACTTCTCCGAGGTACCACCCAAGAAGGTGATGAACCTAAGAACGCTCGGCAAGATTTGCGATGAACCAGAGAGTCAGCACGCTCAATCAGATTAAGGAGCGCGCGCACATGCTGCTTGTCTACTAGAATGGGCAAATAGCAAAGGGACCTGAAGCTGCCAGACTTGTGAAATGTTGTCAATGCATTTGTTGCAGAAGAACAGCTTCATGTCTACAGACTTGTAGCTGTCTTTTGCAAGTAGCTGGTTATCTTTTGGTCCAGCATATCTAGGTGTGAGGCTCAGCACTTCCAGTTTCACCAGTCTCATGACCAGGTCCTTCACAAAGGCCATAAAACTCGCTGCCTCGGAGTTTAGGCCATGGTTATCTGCATATCTGCTGCATATCTGCTGCATATCTGCTATCATTTGCTGATGCTTTGCTGCTTTGTATTCCGAACAAAGTCAAAATTGCCTGTGCGGCCATTGATGCCCTCTGTGTCGGCAAACAGCTCGAACAGAATCTCCATGCAGCCAAGCACGCCTGCTCAAAACCAATGACCTGCGTTCAAAGCTGAAACGGTAAGGGAGCCTCGGCCATATCGGCGCATCAATGGTAGAGGCCCACGACAAAAGAAGAGTCGAATGTCCTTGAAACTAACGTGAACCAACATGAAATATGTTCAAATACTGAATTCAAATGAAGTAAAGGAGTTGGCACACAATGGTTTCAACTACTTGAAAATATCTCGCTGAGCAGTCCTCGTCTGGGGTATCAGGCGATACCAAGCTCACGGGAAAGGACAGGAGAAGGCATCCAGATTTGACATGGCCTAAAAACTTCTATGCAGCTGACTTGGAAATTCAAAACAAGTTCAACAGACTGCTCTCATGAAACTGTTAAGAGTCATGCGATACACTGGCACTGCATCTGCAACTCCACTGCCATCATCGACCAGAATATAAGAAGGACCTAAGGGAACACAGCACGGCTCAGCCTCTTTGTGCAGCTGTCGAGGTGTTGTTTGCCTCTCATCTTTATTCACAGAGTCGATTTTCTTCTTTGATTTCCCACATGTTGCAGCAATTTCAACTCCGAGTCCCATGCAACAGTCAGCTAAATGGCTTCCACTGGAGTAAGCGCTGCCTCAAATGCGATGCTACAGGACAAGCCCATTTGCCACCATGTAGTCCTACTGCCTTTCCTTCAGTGGACACTCAGGCGTGACCGCCAAGCCCCTGACCAGCAAAAAAATCGCGCAACTCCACATCCTCTTTGGCCAAGTTCTGATGGTGGGCGGCACCTAGTCCAGGATGGCCGGGGTGTCACGACGCACCGCATTAACGGAGCAAACCACATCGTCAAGAACATGTGAAAGATCAGGGCTCGCACTCTCATTGAACTCATCAGCACAACGCAGATCTGGTTCCTGCAATGGGAGATCGAAAAGCAGATAAGAATTCTGCGAAACAGCATGTGGTTTTTGCAAACGGCCATTTCTTCAGCCACTTAGAGTATGTTCTTGGTGGACAAACGGGTTTAGCTTGTTGCAACAGCAAACTTGCCTGTTGCCCGGATTCCAAAACGAAGGCACCACTTACAGCTCGCTCGCAAACCAGCGCAGCCCTTGAGCCAATCAGTTCAATCCAAACAAATCAAAATGAGAGCAAGCATGAGCTGAAGCTGAATCTGGTAGGATCATAAAGAAACAATATACACATAGATTGAAATTGTGCGATACTCCTCTTACTCTGCTGTGGTCCTGACTCGCTAGTATCGTTCAGCGGTTGCATCATTGCATTCCGAGCCCTCAGCTTGATAAATCTTGAAGACTGCAGGACAAGGTCGGACTCAAAAATGATGCATATAGTCAGAAAAAATCATGCTAAAGACTGCAACACAACATGTCGTGTCGTCTAAACCAAGATAAAGATGGATAAACCAAGTTTGCACACTCGTCTGGATCACGGCTTTGCCAAGCAACTCCTCGCTTCGAGTCTTGCGAATCCCAACGCTCTGTGCTGCTGCGGCTGTGGCCCCCCAGCCGAGTGTGTCAGCACTGAGTGCAGCAGCTGTGTAGATGGACGCCGTGGCCAGACGAGCATCCACCGCAGAGCTTGACCAACCTGGCCCTGTTTCATCTGTTTCTGCTTCTGCGCGGACCCTCCAAGTGGTCTTGGACTGGGATGATCGGCAGGACCCAGGATCTGGGTCATACTTGGTAATTGTTGTGTCTTTTGGCTTCAGTCTCACGACAGGCTTTGTGGACCGGTGCTTGCTGGCCTCCGAAACTGTGATTGAATGCGCAAATACATACAAACAATTACAAACACAACCGTAGCGCACCAAGGTCATAAAAGGTGAGAGGCAAAAAGAGCCCGCTTTGAATTGCCTGAGGGTCTTTCGCACTGCCGCATGGCGAGGCATGTACCTCAGCCATGCAGAATGAGGTCCAATCTGAAAGGGTGTCCGATGTGCCGATGTGCAGACTTGATAATTACTCACATTCTATGTCTTCTATGCTAATTGCAGGCACAACATTACTTGCCTCTCAGAAGTGAGTCGGTCGAACCCTTCAAGCATTTCAACATCATGCCACATGGTGACTATATCGAAGCGCACTGGTTGACCGAGTTCTCCCTTCTCCTTGGGCCAAGATTCAGGGCCAGGATCAAATCCGACTTAAAACAGTTTGAAACATGTTGAACCCCTCAGCGTACGCTACATGCCGTGCCAAATATGCCGTGCAAATCCTTGCAATTTGTCTCTGGGCCATGGGCAGAGTCGGCGGATCCATACTTCCTTTTCGTGCTCAGCTCCTTTGCCTCTGCCAACTTCAACAGAGTGAAATGACATACAAAGGTCCGCACTGTCCGCGCCTCTGCGACAGAGGAATCGCCTTGGCTCAGAGCTCATCACGAGATATCTCGAGCGCATGCGACAGAAAGAAGCAGGCGTTAGTCAGCTCTCAAAAAGATGCGGCAAGGCGATCAAGACGATCCCATTTCATGTGATCGGAAATCCTTCTGAATTGATTGCAGCGGCCAGCGTTCTGTGCCAAAATCTTTCATGGCTGTGATTTCTGAGAAATGGGCTGTGGCTGCGAATGCGTCTCACACCATGGGAGCCTTGCCAAACTGGCTCGCTCGGACCAGGTCTGCAAAAGCCTTACCACTTTGACCCACCTCCAGCATGTCCCACAGGTGATGCGATCGCCTCAGACCTTGCAAGTTGCTGCACAAGGAGCGCTGTTGCAAGAACAAACCTTCAAAGTTTACTTAAAATGCGACAGCATACTGCCCATAGATGCCCATAGATGCCCATAGATGCCCATAGATGCCCATAGATGCCCATAGATGCCCATAGATGCCCATAGATGCCCATAGATGCCCATAGATGCCCATAGATGCCCATAGATGCCCATAGATGTCCATAGTACATCTCAAATTCCGAAGCTGAGCGATGCACGGCGTTTCAAGATCCTCCACGGTCACCTGCGAATCAGTTGGATCCAAGATGAATGGTTGCGAGCCAAGCGAAGCAGCTAAGACTTTGGTCTACGGAGTCTTTTTTGCACTTTTTTGCATCTGTATCGGCGAATTGATGACCAGTCTGGCTTTCTGTCTTTGAGCAAGGGTGTTGTGACATGTTGCGACGACATTACATCCTCTGCATGCTTTGGCCAGTCAACAGCGGCTCAGTAAACGCCTACAAGAATCCTGCCTACAAAAGCCTCCAATAGTCTATATACGACGGTCTGCAGTCTACAATGGAAGCATTGTTGGCCAATTCTGCTTCAGACCTATACTTCTGGAGCGTCCAAGAAATATGCCCAGATGGTTGCAGCGCAGAAAGCACTGTCCACTTCATGGCCTGTTCCGATCTTTTGACTCTCGCTTGTTTGGGAGGAGCTTGTAGCCAGGTGTCCTTGACTTCGAGACTTTTCCTGCAGAGAATCAATGGAAAATGACTTGTTCGCCTCACAATCTTTTCTGTGTAGCAGTAGCGAATATCTGCGCCTTTCCATCTTGTTGCCTTTCTTTTTGCGACAAACCTGACAAGTGCCACTGGTGCAAATGGTAATGCCGCATAAGACCGTCGGCAGAACATGTCAAGTACCAAAAGGATCCACAAGGATCAAACATTAAAATAGAACGATAATGATACTAATAATTTATGAATATGATCAACATGTTTTGCTTGGTAAATCGTGCTGACAGCGACACGAATGTGCCTCGCGGCCTTCTTCTCTATGGCGCAGAGCCTACAAGTGCCAACACAGCCAACACACGTTGTGCATTGCAGCCGCTGCAGCGCAACCGGTGCCGTGCAACCCAACTCCGGACAAGGCACCGCCAACGCTATCTTTCTCATCTCATCGTTCTCCTGTCTCAGAAGGACGTTCTGCCGGACCTCAGCAAAACAGCTGAGATCAAACAAGCAGGACTTGACACGTCACTGCCATGCTTCTAACCACATGGAATCCGGAAGAGGTGATTGAATAATTGTGTATTCTATACATAATATATACATTATATATATATACGTCTGCTGCGACTCGAACCTTTACAAAAGATGTCATGCCATGCAAACTCTTGCAGTTGCACGACCTGTCAAGCGTGCCATTTTCCCAGACAAGCTGAGGAAAAAGCTTCCATTGCTTTTATGGCATCTTCATCCCGAAGTTCCAACCTGTACAGAAACATGCAAGAACTTGCAACTTGCCAGGTTTTGACGCTGCATCTGCGGCCTTAGTACCTCTTTCTGGCTCTCTTTGAGCTTTCGTTTTAGATCTTCCTGGATATCAAGACAGCTGGATGGGAAAAAACATAAACGGCCTTTGCTCCACATTTTGACACAGCAAGAGACTTCGCTGCTTCCATTACAAGTCCTTCTCTCGCTGAAGGGATTCAAGAGCAAGCTTCATGGCAACCAGTGAGATATTCCCGTTTGTCGTCTCCTTGAGGCCAGGCCCACTTCTCAGACATGGATTCAAATGACAGTTTCAAACAAGTTCTAGTTTTGGCATGTTTGGGCATGCTTTAGCAGTGCCATGCATATCCTGCACCAGTGGCATCTTGCAGTGCAGCCCGCAAGACCTCATTCACCACCGCTTTCATGCAGGAGAGGGCAGTGGACCGTCTGCAGCACGGGAACAGCTTGAGGCACCAGCGGCAAAGGGGGCAAGGCAGGGCCTCCCCATGCACCTGGCAGCTATCACTGCATTACTCAGGTACGATCGGGTACGATGGACCATGCTGAAACTATAGCGTTTTGCCTTTGAGTCTGTCTGAGCTTGGAACTCAAAGGGTGCGCCTGACAAAGATAGGAATTTCGGCTGCCGGTGATGCAATGGTTCTTTTGGATTCTGTTGGTAAGTCACAGCTGGATTACGTTACATTCACTGGGCGTGATTGCAACTCATACAACCAAGTCTTCGCAGTAGCCTTCAATCCAATCGGATAAAGAGTAAAATCCACAGACCTCAGGGTCCCAGTCGTGTCATCAAATTGTGCTAATGTTCCTGGAAGCCGCTACTACCACCTGTACCTACTACTTCTTCAGAATGGTTGAAAAAATGTGGAAAAAGTGCTAAAAACATTGGTTTTGTTCCCACTCTCTTGTGACTTCCAGTGCCCGACTCTGTCTGCACAGCCACCTCCACCTTTTGTGTTGATGATTTGCAAAAAGTGTCACAAGATGTCACAAGTTAGTCACAATGCAAAAAGATCAGAAAGTGTTCTCTTTCAAGGACATACAGAAAGATCAGAAAGGATGCCGTGGAGCCTTGCCAGAATCCTGTGGCGGATCCTCCTCTGACTTCACTGACAGCCCGCTCTCTGGCCACCTTCGAAGTTTCATGACCTCTCCGCCTCCAAGCTGTGTCAGAGTTCTCCAAGCAGATCTATCAGATTTGCCTGGAATCGCTGAGTTGTTCGGAACAGCTAGAAGCTCTTCACTGAGACCTGACTGCAGTGGCTGCGGTGGCAGTGGCTGCAGAATTGAATCCATTTCGGCGTGCGACAAAAGGCTCATCTCCAGATCACCCCCTGACTGCAAAACCTCGCCAAGCCGATCTGTCACTGGCTGCCATCCAGAACCCAGGTCAGCCACTGTCATCGTCATGCCCGCTTGCATTCCTCTGGGAACCGTTACTTCCACTGTTTCACCAGTATCAGGTTCAACCTGCAGCAGATCGCCAGCAACTGCACCTTCAGGAATCAGAACTGCAAGTATTGTCGGAAAGTCTGAGTGCTTCAAAGAATCGAAGCCTTACTTGGATCTTCCTTTTCCATCTTGTAGTGTTTGCTCTTGTGCGAATGGATTGTCTTGTTTCAGAAAAATTGTTTCCTCTGGTTTCATCTCTGCCTCTTTGCTCTGTTGACTCTCTGCAAGAATTTCAGTTTGGAGTGGAGCTTCGTTGGTCTTATCCGATCTGCCTTGCCCAACTTGGTTCTCAGATGGTACTTTGTCTTGCTCGGGGGCTGCCCCACCGAAATCTATCTGCGTCTGTTTGCTCACTGGACTCTCAACAGTCAGCGTCTTTCCAGCTTCCGTGTCTGTGGGAACCACAACTTCAATCCTCTCTCCTTCTGGGGATTCCACTTCCAAGACGTCTCCAGCAAAAACATCTTCAGGCACCACTACTGATAGCAGTGGAGGGGAATCTGACGGCTTTTCAGGAGGGAGGTCTCTTTGGGTTCTTTCCTTTGTGCCTAGTTTGACTGGCTCCTCTGATGGTACTTTGTCTTGCTCCGGGGCTGCCCCACCGAAATCTATCTGCGTCTTTTTGCTTTTTGGACTCTCAACAGTCAGGGTCTTTCCAGCTTCCGTGTCTTCAGGTACCACAACTTCAATCCTCTCTCCTTCTGGGGATTCCACTTCCAAAACGTCTCCAGCAAAAACATCTTCAGGCACCACTACTGATAGCAGTGGAGGGGAATCTGACGGCTTTTCAGGAGGGTTTGTGTCTTGTTTGACTGGCTCCTCTGATGGTACTTTGTCTTGCTCGGGGGCTGCCCCACCAAAATCTATCTGCGTCTGTTTGCTTTTTGGACTCTCAACAGTCAGCGTCTTTCCAGCTTCCGTGTCCGTGGGAACCACAACTTCAATCCTCTCTCCTTCTGGGGATTCCACTTCCAAGACGTCTCCAGCAAAAACATCTTCAGGCACCACTACTGATAGCAGTGGAGGGGAATCTGACGGCTTTTCACGAGGGAGGTCTCTTTGGGTTCTTTCCTTTGTGCCTAGCTTGACTGGCTCCTCTGATGGTACTTTGTCTTGCTCCGGGGCTGCCCCACCGAAATCTATCTGCGTCTTTTTGCTTTTTGGACTCTCAACAGTCAGCGTCTTTCCAGCTTCCGTGTCTTCGGGAACCACAACTTCAATCCTCTCTCCTTCTGGGGATTCCACTTCCAAGACGTCTCCAGCAAAAACATCTTCAGGCACCACTACTGATAGCAGTGGAGGGGAATCTGACGGCTTTTCAGGAGGGAGGTCTCTTTGGGTTCTTTCCTTTGTGCCTAGTTTGACTGGCTCCTCTGATGGTACTTTGTCTTGCTCCGGGGCTGCCCCACCGAAATCCATCACGGTCTGTTTGCTTTTTGGACTCTCAACAGTCAGCGTCTTTCCAGCTTCCGTGTCTTCAGGTACCACAACTTCAATCCTCTCTCCTTCTGGGGATTCCACTTCCAAAACGTCTCCAGCAAAAACATCTTCAGGCACCACTACTGATAGCAGTGGAGGGGAATCTGACGGCTTTTCAGGAGGGTTTGTGTCTTGTTTGACTGCCTCCTCTGATGGTACTTTGTCTTGCTCGCGGGCTGCCCCACCGAAATCCATTAGGGTCTGTTTGCTTTTTGGACTCTCAACAGTCAGCGTCTTTCCAGTTTCGGTGTCTTCGGGAACCACAACTTCAATCCTCTCTCCTTCTGGGGATTCCACTTCCAAGACGTCTCCAGCAAAAACATCTTCAGACACCTCTACTGCTGCCATCGGTGAAGAATCAGCTTCGGTTTGTTTCTTTGTCTCTTGTTGGACTCCCTCTTCTGATGGTGGGTTGTGTTGCTCGGGGGCTGCCCCCCTGAAATCCGTCTGTGTCTGTTTGCTCATTGGACTCTCTACCGTCAGTGTCATTCCGGGTTCCATGCCTTCCGGAACCACAACTTCTATCATCTCACCAGCGTCTGACTCAACCTCCAAGATATCTCCAGGGGACACATCCGGCGGGATCACTATGTCCAATACATGCATTATCTGCGGAGAGGTCTCAATCTCTTCAGTTTCGGGTTGTTTGGTTAATCCAAGGCCTCCAAGCTCAGGGCGAAATAGCACCACTGAAGGCTCCTCCTCTGTAAAACTGACTTGTCTTTTCGGAATTTTCTTTTTGCCATTTGGGACGGCATCGTGGCTGTCCACCTCTGGTCCAGCCATATGGCTGACTGGAACATCCAGTGCTAAGGTGTCTCCTCCTTTGAGCCCAGGCGGAACAGTGACTTCAAACTCTTCATTCCCGACCAGGGCAATGAAAAGAGCTCCTTCTTTGAGACCTTCAGGTATTATCACTTCGACAGCGTCAGCGTCATCTGAAAATGCATCCTCTTCAAATCCATCCTCATCATATTCGATGTCTTCAGTCAAAAAAGGTTGCGTGGGCTGCGTCTTTTCGGCCTGGGCAGAAGCTCTTGTGGATGTCAGTGACTCAAACGGAAATCTATGGAAATCTGGAAAACAAATGTGAATTTAGCACGGAATCGTCAGCAGCCCGCCGTTTTCAAGTAGCGCGAAAGACTCAAGGATCCAAACGGCAACAGCATATACATGTGTTAATGCCACAGCATCCAGCAGGGTATCAGCATTGCAGTGTTCGTGGCCATATGGCCCAATCATATCCAGGAACCTTTAGCAGAGTCGCGGTCGCTATGGTGTGACAACGTGTCCGTTCGTGGGAACAGGAGGTCGTTGCAAGGTTCAGGAGAACCCCATAGGTTTGCTGCCAACAACATTGGTAGCGGAGCCTGACCACCTGAAAAACAGGTGCCTGGAAGTATTCAAGCTCCAGGAGGAGCTAGGAGCACAGCATCCATGTCCTCTGGACCTACATCGTCCACAAGCGATGGGCCCGGAGGGATTCGCCGAATCGGAAGACTACAAGGAGTATCGAAGATGGAAGCTTTGGCTTTCAAACAAATTCAAGACGCTTGACAAACTGCAAGCTGATGCCCGTGGGCCCTATCTGCTCACCTGCCTGTCAGGTAAGGCCTTAGAGACGGTGGAGCATGTTGACCCTGCAGAGTATCAAAAGGATGGAGGTGAGCAGGTTCTGCTTAGACTCCTTGATGCTCGCTTTCCTGAGCATGATCAAACGGATTAGCTAGCTGAAGTCCTCAACGAGGTGTTTTCACTGCGTGCCACTGAGAGTGAAAGTCTTCGTGCTTGGGTCAGCCGAGCCACAGATCTTTTTGATCGTTGTGAACGCAAAGGTGGAGTCAAGTTCCCTGAAGAGGTTCGTGGGTTTGCTTTGCTGAAGTGGAGTGGCCTGACAGAAGAGCAACAGGCCGTTGTCAAAGGTCGCTCATTAGGAGTGCTCAAGAGGGAAGAGATCAGCAAGGCTATGCGAAGCTGCTATCCGGATTTCGTTGTTAGCCGCCGTAGGCAGTTGCTCTGGTGGATGATGAAACTACTGGGGCTGTACCCGGCAAGGAATTGAAAGTTGGGGGCTTCGACGATGTGGAGCTCTTCCTCGCAAATCATGAGATCACCTTCCCTGCGGATGAGTCGGAGTTTTTCCCTGAGCAAGAAGTAGCTGAAGTCTTGGCCTCAACATGGAAGGAGAAGAGGGCTGAGATAGCAAAGTTGCAGAAGGCCCATCGTTTTGACCAGGCCAAAGAACTGCGACGGTCGTTCAGGGTGGAGATAGAAGAACTCAAGAAGAAGACGAAGTGCAACCGGTGTCATCGGGTGGGGCATTGGGCAAGAGAGTGTCGCCAGAAGCGGGATAGCTCTTCCAAGCCGTCGTCATCAACGGCTTCACAGTCCAAGTCCTCGCAGCTGGTTATGTGGCTCAAGAAGCATCCGTGCCTGAGGCACAACCGGAATTCGTGGCTTCAGTGGGGTGTCAACAAACGTTGGTACAAGGGCTACAACAGCGTTTGACAGGTGAGCATGAGGTTTCCTAACAGTCGATGTTTCAGCCTGCCACAGAAGTTTTCTTGGTAAGCAGCCCGGGCTTTGCTGTTTTAGATTCTGGATGTGGAAAGACCATTATTGGTGATCGTACTCTGAAACAGTTTCAGAAACTCTGGCAGGATGATGGTAGGTACTCTCCAAAGTTCAAGTCGGAGACCAAAGTTTCCAAGTTTGGAAAAGGTGAACGTGAAACAAGTACCTCGACGGTGATCATGCCGGTGGGACTAGCTGGTCGTTTTGGAACAGTTCAGGCTGCCGTTGTCCAGGGCGACGCACCACTGCTGCTCTCGAGACCAGCACTCAAACGTTTGGGTGCCACCATTGATTTCCATGCTGATCGACTGCAATTGTTTCATGGTGCCATCGACTTGAACCTCAAGTCCAATGCTGCAGGACGGACTGAGGGGGCACCAGACATGGAAACATTATCCTTAGTCTTATGTACCTTATCATGGGGGTTATGCTGATTACCGGCGTATCTGGGAGACTAGGCTGGGGATCTATTGCCTCAGTTGACATGGGCACCTCATCTAGCGGCTCTTCCTGCTTGGCAACGGCATGGGCTTCAGTGCCAATGGCATTCTTTGGAAAATCAAACACGTCGATGATGTACTAAGCCTTGTCATGCAGTCCAAGGGGTTTCCTCCAGTAACAAACAAGGTGGGATATCCAAGAAACAGCTCCGCAACCTTAGGAAGCAGGTGAGAGAAGGTGTCCGGTCTTCCAAGGTAGGAAAGAAATATGCTGTTGTTGAAGTTTTCTGCCCGCCACGCTTTGTGCCGGAGGTTGAGAAGCTGGGACTCAGGGGGACTTTCCCTTGACACATGCACTGGATGGGATCTCAATGAAACAAAGAGCCAGGAGTGGGTTTTGAAGGAACTTAGGGATAATCCACCAGAACTATTAGTAGTTTGACTGATGCTGGTGGTTGGTTTGATTTGAACTCCAAACGCATGCCAGTCCATGATGTCCTCAGAAGAAAGCTGAACCTCAAAAGGCAGAAAGCCTTCTGTAAGAAGCTGATGCAGCAACAGATAGATGCCGGTGGCAGGGTTTTGTTTGAGCATCCGAGTCCGTCTTGCTATTGGGATGACCCTGACTTTGGCCGTTGGTGCGATGAACTGTACTCATTTGTGATGCACATGTGTTGCTTTGACCTGCATGTTCCTGCACATGGTGACAAGCCCAAGCGATTGATCAGGAAAAGCACATGTCTTTTATGCACTCATGCTGACATGTGTAGCCTCCGCCAGAAATGCCCAGGAGCCAGCCATCCTGATCATCGAGAACATCGACAGGTCTCCGGTTCTGAGCCCACCATTGGCCAAGTGAGCACTCATGCCGGCCGATACACGCCTGAGTTTGTGAGAGCGGTTTTGGACACAGCGCCCCGTTTTTGCAATCCGTCCGATGCTTGCAATGTTCCTTTGATGATTGCCAGCTGCCCCATCAAGAGGTGTTTGAGGCTCTAGCCATCCAAGAACAAGTTGATCCCCAAAAGATCAAAGAGTCGTTGATGAAGCTTCACCGCAATCTTGGACATCCCAGCAATGCAGACCTTGTCAGGGTGCTGAAACATGGTCAAGCTTCCAACGATGCAATCAAGATGGCCCGAGATCTGTCCTGTGACTTTTGCACCGCACGTAAGGCTCCTACAGTTGCCAACCCTGGAAAGACTAGCACTGTGACTGAGTTTAACCAGAGAGTTGGTTTGGATGTCAAGTTCTTGCCAGGCTGGAAGCCAAACCAGCGGGTAACAGCCCTGAACATAGTAGATCATGCCACGTCTTACCAGTTGGTTGTGCCTTTCTTTGAGACGGAAACTTCCACAGTGTTGCGTAAGCTGTACTTGGAACGCTGGGTTCAATGGGCAGGTCCACCTTGTGAAGTAATCCTAGATCCAGCCAGGACCAATTTAGGAAAAGCCATGGTAGAGCTCACTGAACTAGAGGGCACTCATGTGCATGTCACTGCGACTGGAGCGCATTGGCAATTGGGCAAGACGGAAGTGCATGGTGGTTGGTTCGGCCGTGTGTTGTCCAAAGTTCTTGACTCTCAGAATCCTCAGACCCGAGAAGCATGGTTAGAATGCGTAGTGAAAAATCAAATGATCCAAAGCTATGGTTTTACCCCTAGTCAAAGAGTGTTTGGCAAACATCCTGACATGCCTGGTGATCTGTTGAATGAACCTCAACCAATTCGCCGCAACACTGGTTTCTTGCACGACGATGCCATCGCCCGAACATATGCCATTCGCACTGCTGCCAGGAAAGCCGTGTTAGAATTGAAAGATGACAAGACCCTGCGTAGGGCCATGTTGGCACGACCACGTCATGACAAGCCTTTTGTCGCTGGCGACATTGTGGCATACTGGAGAGACCAGACATGGAATCAGGGGTTGTTATCCAAGGGGGGCAAATGGTACGGTAGTGGTGTGGTTCTAGGTCTCATCGGTCATAATGTTGTGATAGCTCACAGAAATCACATTCTCCGGTGCGCTCCAGAGCAAGTCCGGTTGGCAACGTCCGAAGAAAGGGCTCAGAACTGCTTGGCATCAAAGACATGATTGAAGGTGGAACATTTCGTTGCTCTCAATATGTTGATTTGATTTCTCAGTCATATCCTCCAAAAGAGCAAGAAGTGATCAGCGATGTAAGAAAAGAAGAAAGCAATGAAGTCCAGAAAAGCCGGAGCATTCGTCCCCGATGCCTGCAGAAGTAGCGCCAGCACCACCACCGATGGAGCCAGTCATACCCAAGCCAGAGGCTGAAGCTGTGCCTGAGCCTGAGGTGTCTAGACCCGATGTAGATACCGCTAGTGCACCTTCCAGTTCTTCAACAGGACATGAACAACCTGCACCGTTGCCTGGAGACACTTCAGAATCAAATGGCCCAGTTTGTAGATCGCGCATCTTAGCCAAGAGCGGTCCACTCACCATGTTTCGGCCAGCAGCCATGAAACATGATGATTTTGTCGAAGTTATGAGGGAAGTTGTTCCACAGCTGATTGATCAAACCATGACTTCAGAGACCGCCAGTGGTTCGGAACGCAAACGGGAAGCAAGTGAGTCAGCTGAAGCGCCAATTCCAAAACTTCCTAAGATGGACACTCCAGCTGACTGCGTTGAACATGCAATTGCCTATGGGGAATCTGCCAAGTGTTCAGCATTCCAAATCATCGCCCCTGTGGAATGATTTTCGCAATACTCAGGATGGAGCAGTTGAAGTATTCATCAACCAGTAGGACAACAAGAGAGCCCAGAAAGAAATTCCAGCTAGTCGAAATGATCCGTTTCTCCAAGCCAAGGTTGATCACGCCAAAGTATAGACAAGCAAGCCGTCCGCGTGATTTCAGCCAAGGAATCAGCCTGGATCCGAAAACATCAGGCCAATAGGATCATGGGTAGTCGTTTTGTCATAGTGAAGAAACCAGAAGAAGAGCTAGTTGAAAATGGCAAAGCAGCTGACCCCAATAACCTGTCTCACTGGAGGGTTAAGGCTCGTTGGTGTTTGCAAGGGCACTAGGATCCAGACTTGTCCAAGAAGGCCAGTTCAGGACAACCACAATCTCCGACTCTGTCACAGATGGGTCGGACAGTCCTTTTCCAGCTGATGGCCACTTTTAGATGGCGACTGCAGCTAGGTGATGTGAAAGGGGCTTTCCTAGAAGCGGGCCCTTTGCCCAAATGCTATAGGCCCTTG